GTCTTGTATGGCTAATATCATCAATTTATATGCACTTGGGTTTGTACTTCGATAGTTATATATACTTTATCATAAGATGCACTCTCAGTTTTAGGGTTAGCAATCAAATTCCTTCTTTTCAAATTGTAATCAAATTCAAATCAGTTTTAGGGATTTTCAGGATTGTTAGGTAATTATGGCACTATCACAGTGGTCCATCGTATGGGTTCCACTCTTGAAAATCACTTTTCTGTTAATATATTTACCTTGATAAAATCTTCGAATTTGGGGTAATAAATCTTTTAAAAAATATTTTTTCTTTAATTAAAATAAATTAGTTTATAAAATAATTAAATTATCCATAAAGTAAAGGGTATTTAAGGTCATTTGGCAAACTTCCTTTGGCTATAAATAAGCTACTCATTTGATGAAAAGAAGAAGAAGAAGAAGAAGAAGAAGAAGGAGAAAAGGTGAGGAATAGTAAGCTTCAAACACAATTTTCAAAGTTCCAAGTCTTAGGCTCGGGAGATTTCAATCTCTTGTCAAGGTAAACTCCAAATCTCTACCAAGGAGGAAAAGTTTAAAATACAAATCTCAAATTTCTTTAAGGGCAAAATCAAGTTTAGACTCTGATTCTTTTCAATTTAGTTATTAATCAAAGGATTATATTGTTTTAAGATGTATTACTTTTTAAAACTCGAGTGAACACATTGTAGCGTTTCAAATTAGAGATTATGACTCATTTTTTTTCAAATTCATTGTAATTTATATTTATTTTATGAATTAATATATATTATTTAATTTTACAGGGCTTTTGTGACTACAATGCTTTAAGGTTTTTTTACTTAATTATAAATAAGGATAAAAATAAAGAGATAAGTCTTAATTATTTTCATAAATAAATTTTTAAATAAATAAAAATAAGATAATTAAATCTGACAAAAAAATATAATAATTAATTATCCATAAGAATCAATCCAAACAAAGCCATATCCCCATATGCGTATTTATAATTGTGAGTAATAGAGTGTAAGTGTGTTTGATTTTACTTATTTTACCAACTTATAGTTTTTTTCTTTATTTTAAATAATTAATTAATATGTTTGGAAATATAAATAAACATATAAATTAATTTTAAATTATTAAATAATAAATATAAGTTGTTGTATCACTTGTTCTCAAGTTCAAAAAGAGAGCCTTAAAATATAAACGTAAGAAAATCCACGATGGCTATAGATCATAGTCATTAAACAGTTCTTAAAAAGGAAAATGAACTAAACTTCAAGTTTTTACGGGAAAAAAAAAAAAAAAA